GATCAATGATTAATAACAATTGTTTTAATATTTTCAAATATGTGGATTAGTATAGATACTATAAATTTCATCGTTCGTATTGTATATACCTAATTATTTATTATACCTAAGTATTTATATTTGCGCGACCATGTAAAATTAAACCAAATCCGAATGTATTCTACTCAAAATGCTTCCAAGGATGATATCTCATATTTGATAACATTAAATGAACACATTTTGAAATATAATCACAAAGTTAGACATTTTTTAAAAATGATTCTTTAATTCTGAAATTTTAGAACATTTTAAAAAAACTGAATTGTTCAGAAAAGATGAAAAACAAAAAAATTTGAATACTTTACTTTTTCAAAATTTGAATCAGCTGAACCTGTTTTGTCCAAAAACTAATTATTTCTTCACACCTTTAACACTAGCAATATGAGTTTTGAATCATTCTAATCGGATGCTTGTACTCTCAAAAACTTAATTACCGTCGTCAATACGATGTTTTTTTTTCGAACCATTGAAATCGTTTGATGCGTGTTTCAAAATCGTGGCCGAAAAATTGTTTCAAAACATACACAAGCACATAAACATACATCAATTTTTTTCTGAGGTATGCCATAAGGTTCAGAAACCTTTGAAATGTGAAAATATGCAAAAATTGTCATTTTCGATTTTTTGCGATTACTGTAACTTACCCTAAGGGAAGCCAAAAATACAGTTTCACAATTCGTTATGTATTATGTAATACGTACAAAAGCGATTTTGAGAGAATAGGTAGATAAATATCCAATAAAAAAACAAATATGACAATTAAAAAATAATGCAACTTGTGCAAGCCAATTTAAAAAAAAATAATTTCAAACTTGAATTGATTTCAACAAAATAAGGCATTGGCTATTGTTGAATATATACATATTCTTGTTAGATAATTTTTCGATTATTTTACCGTACAAAACCGTGCTACAAAACCGGGATAATGAAATAAAAATAAATTCACAGCATCAGTTACCATTTTGGATCTATTATTCAATAACGTATAAAGCACATGAGTAAGATTTATTGTTGAAATAAGTAAATTAGGGTTCAACACACGGATTCAATCATATTTCCTATAAAAATTGCACATTTAGGAAAGTCTTAGATTATGATAAATACAACATAATAAACAAGTTTAAAGCATATAAGTTTCAAAAAAAAAATAGAATTTTAGGATTACCTGTCACGATTTGCACTATTATGGATAGATGTGTACGGTTCGAAAAGCAGCACAAAAGAAACGCTCGCTGAACCAGCCCGATCGAGAATGCATAAACAAAGACACGTTAAATTTTAAAACACTAGATAAGATGTCATGAACACTATTTACATTGCGATTAGTCCCTCTGTAGGTGTAAGTGTGAACAATTTTGACAGGTGATCAATTGTATCAAATCTCAAATGTGCAAAGTGACCTTGTTTTGGTGACTGCTCCAGATCATTTAAAATATTGTATTTAGTTGCAGTTTTAATTTTTACTTCATTATATTTTTTTCTATAACTATTGTTTCTATAATTTTAATTATCATTTTTATTTATTTATTATTCTTATTATTATTATTATTATAGTTAGATAGTTATTTTACTTCACATTGTAAATTTATTTGTTTAGATTATGTTTTCACTGTAGCGCACAATACTTACATTATTCTGATAGTTACATACAAATTTAATAAAAAAATATAATTTTTATACATACATTTTTTGCAATTATAAAAAAAACACTTTAAATACAAAATCACATAACCTATATTGAAATTTAAACCAGTAATCATTAATAAGAATATAATTATTAATAAATTTCTAACCATGGTAAAAATAATCACTAAAGAACGTAACCAACTACTATTAACAGAACAAGACATACGAAATTAGGAGGCGTCCATTAATCACGTGATCGATTTTTTAGAGATTTTTGGACTCTCCTCCCCCTTGGTGATACGTGGTAATATTCAAAATTACTCCCCATCTCCCCCAAACATGAGGTGTATTTAGTCACGAGAAAAAATTGTAATTTTTTTTTAATGTTTGGTTTTTTGAAATTCAGGTAAAAAATAAATACACTTGATATTTGCTATACCCCTCCATTTCCCACGTGATTTTTTGTAATTTTATCCCTCTGAAAACATCAAAGTGATTGAAGGACGCCCTCTTAATAAATACAAAAATAATCATGGGCTTACAGACACATATTTTAAATATAGTGAATGTGTATTCGATCGCAATCATACTTTATATATTTTTTCTCATTATTGAGGATGTAAATTTATATTTATTTTATTAGAACAATTATATTTATAATATGTTGTTATAAGCCAAAGCGATTTTTGAGAGCATAAAGTTTGAATTTCGATATCAAATTAGTGTTTTTAAATAGCCACCTTGTAATAAATAAAAAAATAAAATTTATGATTTATGCAATGAAAAACTAGTTGAAAGTGGCATTTTGCATCAAGGCGAGATGCAAAAACTTTCCGATAAGTGTAATAATTAACTTTCAACCGAAATTGAGATTTGGATATTTAGATTAAATCTCTACTGTTTATTTCAAAAATAATGTTTTCGTTTTCACTTAAATCTGAACATTGCGATTTCCAATTGATTTTTCACAAACAGATTTAAATTATCTGTAATTATATTAATTATATTGCACAGATATATGCTATATATCCTAAATTTGTAGCTTATTAATCTAAATTTTAATTAATTTATATAATTGAACTAATTTGCATTTTTGAAAAACTTCGAAACATTTTTTGAAAAAAACTTAATAAATGATTTTGTGAAATATTAAGCCACCTGCTATAAGAAAATACTGGTAAGTTTACATATATCACGTACGTAGTTCTAGATATTATTTAATGATTTGAATGAGCATTTTACACATTTCTTACAAAACTAGAATTGTTTTGTAGACTGTTCATTCATTAATTGCTAATTCCAAATTAATCAAATCGACATTCGATACAAATTTTGATCATCACATTTTTTCAAACTTTGATGAATTTTTAAAATTAAACGACTTGTCGTTGGGCCGTAATATTTCAGTATTTTCTATAGGACCATAATATATATATATTATATATATAATATGCCAAAAAGTTTCATAAAAATCTATCATTCCCAACCAACATTTTTGACATTAAATTATTAACAACATTATTGATTTTTAAAATCGATTAAGGGTTGTGAACTAAAAAACGTTGACGAAACGTTTTACACTTTTTTGCAATTTACAAGAAACGGCTCGGTCGATCGTCGCGCAAAACTGATAAGCACTAGTCGTCATTGAGACTCATCGAATTCTTTTTGAGAAAATGTCAATTTAGAGTAAAAAATCTGTTCACACATGTGCCCATAATTATGAAAGTGGTCTAAGTCATATATTTCTTGTTTCGAGATATTTAGTGATTTGCATTTGAATAAATTAAAAAATATTTTCACATTATGCGGCATTTTAATTTTAATTTTATTAGTTTTAATTAATGGAAATTTATTATGAATAT